TGGTTTATGATGATGATGAGCATAAAATCAAAGAGGAAACAAGGTTATGAACATTGCAGATTGAAGCATCAAGGTAATCACATTGCAGTTATGTACAAAGTTTAGAAAACTAAATTTATAATAGACTGACAAAACATACGGGAAAACGGGAAAATGGGTGGTGGGGGGTGGGGTGGGGGGTGGGGGTGCAGGGACTCATTTTTGCATTTAACAAAGAAGAAAACTGGAGACAGATCACAGTTCAGCTTTACAGGGTAGATAGTCCAGGGGTGTGTAACTTGTTTGCTTTCCTAGTGGTGGTGTGGAAATGTGTTAGCTGTTCGAAACCGCGCCATTTCAAAGTGGTAACCCATTTAAACGTTGCTTAATTCCAGTGATTGCTGTTAACCGGCTACTTATCCTGGTATATCGCCAGGCAACAGTTTTGAAGTGAAAAAGAAATAAAAGGAAAGTGGTGGGGGGGGGGGGAATGAAGATGGGGACTGAAAGATATTTAACCTTTTTACATTTGTAGACTGGAAATCGCCGTAGCAGAGCGGTTTGACGCTCGCCGCGGGTCGGAAGGTCGCCGGCTCGCCCTGTGGGGGAGCCGGGCCCCTTCACACATGACCTTGGCTACCAGGTCAAGCCATTACAACGTGGAATGACAACACGTAGGACACTCTATGCCTTCACGGCGTGACAACGGCCCGTGGCAGCCAACATACACTGGATCGCAGATCGTTTCTCCCCACGCCGCTTAACGGCGGAAGTGGTTTATGATGATGAGCATAAAACTCAAAGGGGAAACAAAGATTATATACATTTCACATTAAAAACATCAGAGTAGCATCATTGTAATTATGTACAAATTTAGAAAACTAAATTAATAACAGACTAAAACAAAACAAACAAACAAACAAACAAACAAACAAAAACATAGGAGAAAAGGGAAGGGAGGGAGGGGAGGGAGCATATTTGCATTTTACTAAGAAGGAAAACTGGAGACAAAACATAGTTCATAAGGACAAGTGACATAGTCAAGGAGAAACAAAAAGGAGGGGGGGGGGGGGGATGCTCCACCCGAGGGGCGACTTGTTTGCTTCCCTGGTGGTGGTCGGGAATGTATAAGCTGTTCGAAACCGTGGTGTTCCAAAGTGGCACCCATCTAAGTACCAGCCACTTCTGTCGTTGCTTAATAGCAGTTTCTTATACCTGGTGAATCCCAAGGCAAGAGTCGTTTTGGAAAAAAAAAAAAAAAAGGTGAGGAGAATGAAACTAGGGGAGAGAAAGGATATTTACATTATTTACAGTTGAAGTCGCATTGGCGAAGCGGCTGAACGCTCGCTGCGGATAGGAAGGTCACCGGCTTGCTCTAACAATAGCCAGTGGCAGCCAACGTGCACTGGATCGCAGATCATTTCTCCCCACGCCGCTTTACGGCAGAAGTGTTTTATGATGATGATGATGAGCATGAGCTCAAAAGGGAAACCAGATTATAAACAAATTGAAAAAAATAAATGTGTGTAGCCCGGGCAGTTTAGGTGTCATCTGCTGCCTCAGGAAAAATTTGTTGTAGTTTGTATTTGAACATAAGAAAGAATAAATGTGGATTGTAAGTTCTGAAGTGGTATTTAGCAAAATTTCTGCATGTCCAAACGAGTAGTCTGTACTGTGCTAAGGCTTGTAGGTTTTTCGTGTGTGACTGTTTATCGCGTACAGGAACAGTGTTCAGAAAGATTGCATTGAAGAGGTTTATTTGTTTGCCTGCGTGTTTGTTTATTGTTTCTCTGAGAAGTTGATGTGTCGGTGTGACCACCCGGCAATCGTAAAACAAATGCTTCTCCGTCTCTTGCTTCCGCTGTCTACACAGGGGGCATCTGACTAGCCTTCCAGACCTGCGTGCCTCTCCTTCGGAGGTCGGCGTCATGGAAAACAAAAGACGGAAAGTCACTTCTCTCGCTTTTGCGGTGATGTTTTTGTTGTGAAGGTTTGAGAAAGAGCTTGTATAATCTGTGAGGCCTAGTGGGCGACCCCACGCTATTCGGAGATGAATATGTGGGGCTAGTCTAGAGATGAGAGATTTGTAAATTGTCTGTGTTGTTTCGTGTATTAGGTGTTCGTTTCCTGGCAGTGCTGCCAGGGCGTGTCTGTAGTAAGATGGGAGGGCACCGAAATGATGGGGTGTGCTATTATCTATTCTTCTAAGGTGATGGACTCTCAAAGCAATATAATATAACCCCAGTCCATTTTTCTGGGGGTCTCTCACAATACAAACAGTCGTGCCCTCGGCGCTTGCCTGCAATACTTATTACTTGTACATAGGTCACAAACATTATATATGCGAGCGAAGCCATCTCATCATCATAAACCACTTCTGCCGTTAAGCGCCGTGAGGAGGAATAATTTGCGATCCAGTGCATGTTGGCTGCCACTGGTTATTGTCAAGCCGTGAAGGCGTAGAGTATCTTTAATGTTGTCGATCCATGTTTTCCACGACCGTCCTCTTGCTCTTTTAGCTGATCTTGTAACCATCTCATAACATCCCAAAACACAGGTTAGGTCGTGCGACCGGCCACGGCAAGAATGGGAGGGGAAGGAACTCAAGGCGGGCAGGCAAGTCGTTAGAAGTTCCGCCCTCCCTATTGCCCCCCCCCCCCCCACCGGAAGCAGGTCGTAAGAGGTGATTTATTAGTTTGCTGAAAAAGGACGTGTTAACCCGAAAAGGCGTAGATATCGTAACCTACTTATAATAAACAAACATAACGTGCTAACCTCACTGTTAAGAACGAACTTAGGTTCCAACAGGTTCTTTTAGTAATCGAATCTTTGTTACGGAAGAATGAGACAGAGCACGTGCGGGAATGTCCGGAGTGCAGGGATGTCAATTCTTGTTCATTCATAAGACGAACTTTTGAGAAGAGCTCTCAAGTTTTTCTACTGTTGCAACTGTACAACCAACTAAACCTCGACCGGTGTCTGATATACGTTTGCCAGAGGAACAAGGTACGGGCTGTAGGAGTCAAGGTAAACAAAATAGTTTACTTTCAGTGCTTTTATAATGTAGATCTATATGATTAGGTACCAGTAAATACCTTTATACAACACAGATGCTCTGGAAACATTGTTACGTACACGGTACTAATCTGTAACTAGTAACTCAGTTTTTAGTTTTGTTGTGAGTTGTGTACAGATTGAAAGATTAGACTGATGGTGCCTCGAGGAATTTAGTTACCAATGGATCTAGCAGACGCTCAACACTCAGGGAAAGACCGAGACGGATATGCAATCACACAGTTACTGATGCCATAGTAAATTGGAACTCTTCACTTCCTGCTGAAGATAGGGACGACTTATTTGGGAGTGTGACTGTGCCGAGTGCTGTGATGTCGATTGTTAATTCAACATTCAATGTATTCAACAACATTTAACATTCTGTTAGTTGTAGACTTAGCCACCCCAGAGAGAATCCCCTCTCCCCCCCCCCCCCCACCTTCCGTATTGCATTTTTAATTTAAAAAAATGGAGGGGTGCTTTAGCCAATTAATAAAACTGACGGAGACTCAGCCCTACCCCTAACCATACCCACCCCTAACCATACCCTCTTTACCACCTAGGCAGATATTGTGTGGGCCTTAGACCTCTTCAGCCCCCCCCCCCCCCCACCCCCCCAGTAAAGTAAGAAAACAATGGAAGACCCACCTGCAACCACGCCCTCATCATCGTCATACACAAGGTGGCCAAGATGCTCACTTTAATGATGTACAGAAATGATCTTTTACAGTATTACAGTATTTGATATTATTTCCAGGAAGGCTAACCCAGGCAACAAATGCCTGCAAAAGTTGGATGTGTTGTCAACAGGTGCTAATATGACAGCCATGTTGTAAACAGGCACAATGCATTTAGGTCTTCAGATGACGCTTGAGATGAAGAAGAATTATGAATTATTTCAAAAAATATTGTTATTTTTATTTCCCATTCAGCACATTATTGTTAATTTATTATTATTATTGGTATGAGAAAGGATGAGAGCCGAGCGTCTGAGAAGAAAACACATTAAATTCATATGATGGCAACAACGGTCCTGAAGTTTCATGCTCTAATTTTAGAAGACTTTTCGGCTATCCTCCGAATAACGACCACAAATTATAACGGCCAAAAACAGGGCTTTAGTCACATGTAAATTCCGGATTTCCAGCGACTATACCGCCACCGCTGAGAGTATCTACCATGCCGCTCGGGGCGGGGCTAAACTAGATGGCTGGAACTCACAAGCAAAGCTGCAGGAGATGCGGAAGCTGCTGCTTGTGAGTCCCAGCCTTCTAGTTTAGCCCCAATCCACACTGCACGTAGCGACGTGGGAGATACTCTCGGCGGTGGCTGTAGTCGCCGGAAGTGCACAGTTTAAGTCGCCGGAAGTCCACAATTTACATGTGACTGAGGCCCTGTTAGGGTGTTTTTGTGGCCGCCATAATATGTGGCCGTTATTCGGAGGATAGCTGACTTTTCTTAACACGGGCAGGTAATATCAAGAACCATTTGTTTACAAAGCAATGGCAAACTACCGCCAAACAATTATAGGGTTGTACCACCAGCGTCCTGTAATGAATACACAACTAACTTTATTGTTATTGTGATAAATGGCAAATTAAATACATAGTTATAGGGGTCTTTAAAAAAAACCTGGGCTGAATGAAGGCTGATGCACCATGCCTGACAACTGTATGTTAAAAAAAGAAGCAAAAAGGTGAACATAGATGAGGAGTGAGGTCAACTTAATGTGCAGCTCATCTGCACTTAAATCTAAATCATTACGCAAGTCACTTTAGTTCAGTTATTATTCTCGTCATCATTTTCCTGTGAAGATAGGAAAGCTATGAAGTGGCAGCTGGTGTAATAAAAAACAATAAAGGTACAGTCGCTATCAGTCACGTGTCAGAAATCTGATCCTATTCGTAAATTAATTGGTTTGCATAAAAATGAATGTTGACCTCTTCAGCACAGGTCACTGGCACAACATGGCTCTGTCAGTAGAGAAACTGCTGGTGGATGCTCACACCCTGGTCTTACACCTGAAGGATCATGACCTCTTGGCTGAAAACATCATTGCCGTCACGCAGACGCTCTATAACAAGACTAAAGCTATGAAACAGGTAACTCGTCATGTAGCAAGTCCTTTACAAAACCTCTCTCTCCTCATGGTGTTGCCTGAAGAAAACTCATTCTCTTCCAGCTCTTCCCCCTTGTGCACTTTTATATTCAAGGCAAGGAGTCACTTATATCATGCGCCCATCTTTGTGTTGGTTGGCCCCTGCCCCTCCTTCCTGGTACCATGCCTTCTGCTATTATTTTTTTACAATCTGCCATGGCGCTTGATATGACCAAGCGTGTTGTGAACACCCATGTACTTCTTTGCTGGCATGTAACAGATCCGTCTGTGTAGATCAGTACATCTGCTTTGTCTGAGTTATCGCTGATGAGAGCATTGACCTCTACATTCACTACAACAGCATTCTGCTCCCTGCATTTTCCGTAGAGCGTGATAATACAAGAAAAGTTGCAATTAATCACAGGAGGCACAGGTATCCACTCTTCACCAGGAGGGATACTGGTAGGGCTACATACTTGCTTGATGACATCTTCTGCCCGACCAAGCCATGACTTCCCCCTCATCAGCCTGTTGCCTTTTTTAGTGTAGAACGCTTGATGCAGTATGTGTTTTTAAGCAGCACTTTATCCTTTGATTCATGGTTGGAAATTCAAGCAGATATCTCACTGCTAGACAGCAGGCATCTCTCATACATCCCAGAATAATATGCATGGCTTCATTTTGCACCTTTTCAAGTCTTTCAATGTGTGTAGAGCTGGCAGTGAGGATGGCTATAGCATATTTAATGGGAGAAAGAAATAGCCCTTAGAAATGAAGTGCTAGTAGTCTTTGCTGAATATTGGAAGCTGCCATGACCCTCATTGCCGACAGACCTCAGCGTGTTTTTGTTACACATGGTTGACATATTCCTAGGAGGACAAGCTAGGATCAAACTGCACCCCCAGGTATTCCCATCACATTAGTTCTGATCAAAACATCATCACCTGTTTTTACTTCTGACAAGTCTGTCTCGACAATTTGATTGTCCAGAGAGAACCATGTCACTGATGCCTTTGAAGGACTGACGTAGGCACTGGAATCAACACACCCTGTAGGAAATTCTGTTTGTTGGCGATCTCCTGTCTGACTCTTCCCTGTCGATATTTCAAAATATCATCAGCGAATGACAACATCCTTCCTGTTCCACCTAGTTGCTGCTCAGTGATCATTACTGTATACATATTTAACAAAACTGGTGACAGTGGTGAACCCTGCGGCAAGCCTGGACAAATAATTTTTGGTTCTGAGGACCAACTACCAACACCTGAGCACTACCTTTCTCTGGAACAGGACAGCAGCAATCCAGCAGATTAGAACGGGATTTACTTCTAGTCTGAATAGTAGGTGCATTAGATACTCATATGGCACTTTATTGTACGTATCCGTATGTTGCTACAGGGAAGATAGTCATTGACTCACATCCATATGTTGCTACAGGGAAGATAGTCATTGACTCACATCCATATGTTGCTACAGGGAAGATAGTCATTGACTCACATCCATATGTTGCTACAGGAAAGATAGTCATTGACTCACATCCATATGTTGCTATGGGAAAGATAGTCATTGACTCACATCCATATGTTGCTACAGGGAAGATGCATGCAGATAACTAGTCTGTAAAATAATAAATTTCTGTGCCATCTCCACAGTAAAGGTTAGCTACAAACAAACTGGTTGTGAATATTACTGGGTGTCCTCTTCCACCAACGTGGAACTCTCATACAATTGTCAGAGGATCATAAAGTCAATGTCCAATAAATATATTCGGTCGACTAACTAACTTACTAAATAACTAACTAACTAAATGACTGACTATTTAACAAACATAAGGCATTGACAAGTAAATTACTGACTGTCTGCTGCTTTTCTGCCTATGGTATCCCATACGATTTTACATTCCTTTATTTTGCTTTCTACTGTCCTTCTCCAGGATTCTCCTTAGACAATTTTTTTTTAATGGTCTCTAACAATTGTAAAACATTGCGGTGTTATTGTGGTTTTTTTTCTTCACATTGTTTGTTTGTTAATAACAGTATTATTTTTGAGTTGATGTTTTTGTTTTAAACTTATAGCACTACTGCTCAAATTTGGAACATTGAATCTGCTTGCCCAGTGGTCATTGAGTCAGATTTTAAGGAGGCAATTTTTGGAGTTGCCAGATCGACCCAGCTAAACATGGGTACCAGGAAATGTATGGGAAGTAAAGATGCCTGACGAAATACTGACTATATCAGCCATTGAATGCTGATTCTATACAAGATATGACACTTATTCTTCTTCTCTTCAGTGAAGACCCTCTCAGTGTCAGGTTTTCAAGAGGCATCTGGTGCAGGCTAGGTGTATGCTACTTAAAACTGGTGTTCATGTCATCAGAAATTTCATCTATCCATCGCTTGCATGGGCTACCTCTAGTCTGCTTCCGTTGTGTCTGAATGACAGGGCTTTCTTGTTATAGTCTTGACACATGTCTGAACCATTTGATCAGTTGTCTCTTGATATAGTTTAACACTGGTTCCATTCCCATTTGTTTCCATATATAGTCATTTGGGTGGTCTTGAGGCATGGTGTCTGCCCCAAGTGCTGGAGGTTCAGGGCTCAAGGACTGAAATTTTTTCATGTGGAGTTGGACTTCAAGTAATTCCCTCTGGTCTCTGGGTAGTGAGATCGGTCGCCCGTGTGCATTGTTGTGCATGTAAAAAGTCCCTTGGCAGTTGGAAATCAACAGAGTTGCCTAACGCCACTGCCAAGGCAAAATTCGAAGTTAAAAATCTACCCAAAGTATTTAATAATCCTCGCCGGTGCTACAGAACCTGTGCACTGTGCTGAGATTCTTTGGACTCAGACTTGAGTTAGAAGAAGAACGGGGCACTTATGGGTTACTGTCCGTGTGCTATGATGTTGGTCCGTTGTTCAAATTTCAAACAAACTTTATTTCCAGTTTGGTCTTTTCTTGTTACATTTATGATTTCGTCATAAACTTTACATTTCTGCTTTTTGTATTTTACTTTTTTCCTTTGTTGCTACTGTCAACTTTTGGTACTGGTCACAAAATTAAAGATATTTTGCTAGCCATATATATATATATGTGTATTTAGCTATCTCCCAACAGGGAGTTTATTAATTATCTTCTTCTTCTTCTTCTTTGCGTTCACCAGCTGTACACTCTAGCGGAAAGTTCTGGTTGCTCGTCCACTACTGAACTGCAGTCCTGCTCCAGAACCTGAGTGTTGCATGTGCATCAGTTTTACAGATCTCATTCTCTTGAGTACAGACTGTTGTTTCCTTGCCTCTCCGGCAGATGCACTGTCGTCTTCAAAGGAAGCTGTCACAAAATTAGTCGACTCTTACGACATGCTTTTGGGGAGGCAGTGGGTCTATTCTTGTTTTCCCCACAATGGGGCCCCGGAACCCACACGGGGGTTTATTAATTATGATTCATACATTAATCCCCAGATAGCACAAATGTTATTAACATGAACTCTTGATTTTTCTGTGCTCGAAAATCATGCTAACAAGGTTTTACTGTATATACTAAATGTGCTTCAGGGTGTAAAAATAATTCCTTAACTTGTAGTTGAAGAAAAAAAAAAAAAAACTACCATGCTTGTTATTATTAGGTTTTATCTGTGTGTGTTACTGTTAGGTGTTTGTAATATTTTACAGTATCAGGATGATATCACCGAGCTGAATGAGATTGCAAAACACCGGCCTCGGTCCACGCTAGTGTTGGGCTTAGCACAAGAAAATCGCCAGATTCGGGATCTGCAGCAGGAGAACAGGGAGCTGCAGGCGGCCCTGGAGGAGCACCAGTCTGCTTTGGAACTGATCATGCAGAAATATAGGGAGCACACAGTTAAACTGTTGCATAGCAACAGAGTTGAAAAATCACTTCAGGAGCGGGAGGTCGTTGATAAGGTGGGTAATTAAATGTGCGTCTGTTATATTTTCTTATTTCTCTTATTCTCTTTCTTCTTTTTCTTCTCTTCTTCTTTCTCTTCTTCTTCTTCACCTCCTCCTCCTCTTCCTCTTGTTTTTATGTCTTTGTATTCTTTTTTCTTCTATTGCTGTTGCTTCTTTTCTTTGTTCTTTCCTGCTGCTCCTTGGTCTTCATCTTCTTTACTTTCTTATTTTCCTCCTTTTCTCTTTCTTCTTTTTCTTCTTCTCTTTTGTTTTCCTTTTTATTCTTCAACTGCTGCTGCTTCTTGTTCTTTATCTGATTTCTTATTTTTCTCTACCTGTTTTCTTTTTTCCTTCTCTTCTGTTCTTTTTCTTCTTCTGCTGCTGCTTGTTATCTTCTTTCTTTTCCTACTTTCCCTTTCTTCTTTGTTCTCTTTTTTTTTTCTCTCTCTTTCTTCTGCTGCTACTCCTTGTTCTTCATCTTCTGTCTTTTCTTATTTTCCACCTCTTTTCTTTCTTCTTTCTTCTTCTCTTCCTATTTCCTTTTATTCCTATTCTTTTTCTTTTTCTTCTCCTGCTGCTTCATCTTCTTTGTTTTATCATTTTCCTTCTCTTGTTCTCAAAAAAACTTCCCTTTCTGTCTCTCCTTTCTCTACTTTCTCTTCACATGTATTAACTGACAGCTGGGTTGTTATCTTGCAGGAGTCAGTGTGTCAGCTGATGGACAAGATTGATGAAATGGCTGGAGTCATGCAGAAGGCTATTGAGGTAAATTATGAATGTGTCAGTCAGCTGATTTATTTTGTGCAATAATGTGGCAGACCAAGAAGATGACGAAGAGAAAAAAAATCCAGGCAGACCTGCACACTCTCAGCAACTAGAAAGACAGGGCTAGCTACAGAGATGAACAGAGGCAGACTTAGACACACTCAGCAACTAGAAAGACAGGGCTAGCTACAGAGATGAACAGAGGCAGACTTAGACACACTCAGCAACTAGAAAGACAGGGCTAGCTACAGAGATGAACAGAGGCAGACTTAGACACACTCAGCAACTAGAAAGACAGGGCTAGCTACAGAGATGAACAGAGGCAGACTTAGACACACTCAGCAACTAGAAAGACAGGGCTAGCTACAGAGATGAACAGAGGCAGATGAAATCTGCGCTAGTGAACCTCAAGGTCTCTCAGTGCTGAAAAAGAACTATTGTACACATGAGAGGGGAGTCATCTAATCTCCCCCCCCCCCCCTTTCCCCCATATGAAGCCCTGGAACACACACAAGGCAGGTGGTACTCCAGTTTCAGAGAAATGATTCACATGACACTAGCTCCTCCTCTCATACAGTGCACAAGAATTATAATTGTTTATACTGTCTTTGGAAGAGCGGCTAGCAGAGTGGTTGAAGAGCGGCTAGCAGAGTGGTTGAAGAGCGGCTAGCAGAGTGGTTGAAGAGCGGCTAGCAGAGTGGTTGAAGAGCGGCTAGCAGAGTGGTTGAAGAGCGGCTAGCAGAGTGGTTGAAGAGCGGCTAGCAGAGTGGTTACAATGCACTAGCTCTCATGAGACAGACCCAGGTTTAAACCACCGGAGACTTTTCTGCCAAACCCACACTCCAAATACCTGAGCACACGCCAGCATTCCTGCCAGACCCATGCTCCAAACACCTGAGCACACGCCAGCATCCCTGCCAGACCCACACTCCAAACACCTGAGCACACGCCAGCATCCCTGCCAAACCCACACTCCAAACACCTGAGTACACGCCAGCATTCCTGCCAGACCCATGCTCCAAACACCTGAGCACACGCCAGCATCCCTGCCAGACCCACACTCCAAACACCTGAGCACACGCCAGCATCCCTGCCAGACCCACACTCCAAACACCTGAGCACACGCCAGCATTCCTGCCAGACCCATGCTCCAAACACCTGAGCACACGCCAGCATCCCTGCCAGACCCACACTCCAAACACCTGAGCACACGCCAGCATTCCTGCCAGACCCACACTCCAAACACCTGAGCACATACTGCAGAACTACCCCCTCATCACAACCTGTGAGAAAACATATAGCCTGAGGGAAGAGACATACAGGACAAACTTAACCGCTGGAAACTTGCTGCTGACATGCCGGGTCATAGAGGCAACACTGCTGATAACCTGAACATATGACATTGATTGCAGAGAAGAAGAAGAAGACGTGATGTTTGAAAATTGCTCCATTTTGTAATTCCTTTGTAAATTTACTTGTCACTTTAATGTATTTTTGATATTGGCTAGGTTGTAAAATCAATAGAATAGGAAACTAATATGTTAGAGAATTGCTACAGTGGAAAATTAAAGCATTAAAAAAATTGCTGCGTAAGAAGTTGCTTCTAAAATAGAATGTTATTCCTGTTAGAGTATTTGTAAATTTGCCCTAGATTTGACTGTTTAAGATTTCGGTTGTCTTTTTTTATCAACTAGGTGGACGAAAAGCTGGGTCGAGTAGATGAGGAGCGTTTGACTCGTCTGGAGGTGGAAAACAAAGCCCTGAGAGAGCTGCTAGAGATTTGTTCCACCTCCAAGGAAAGAATTGTATCTGTAGAGCCTATGAAAGACAGAGGAAATGAAAGTGAGAGTGAAGATGACAAAACAGATACAGATTGCGATTCTTCAATTTTAGTTTCTCCGGTTAAGGTGAACGAGGAGGAGATGACGGATGAGGATAGGACTAATAGTAGGCAGGATGAACTGGATAGCCAGGATGACTTATCAGCCACTAGTGCCGACAGCGAGGACACCATCACTTTAGGTAACGCCAGGTTGCCAGGGGCTAGTAAATCAGCCAATGATGTCAGGAAAAGTAAACCGGCTGCGTCTGCTGAAGGTGACAATGTTAAGAAAACAAAGTCCAGCACCTTACTAAAGAAGGATACAGCAGCGGGAAAGAAAACTGCTTCCACAGAGGTAAAGAAAGATTCAAAAGGTAAAAAAATTCTACCCAAAACTGCAGGAAAGAAATAAGCATTCAGTGCAATTGTTTACTTCCTTTTTTTTTTCAAAATTAATTGAAGGGGAGAAATCAATGTTCAATGCATTTGTTCCTGTTTTTTTTTTTTCAAATTGCATCTTGTTTCTTCTTAGAAGAATAAAGTAACTTTTTTCTTCTGAGATGTTATGGTGGCTAAGTTTCACTAATTGTTAATTCAGAAAAGATTTTTTTCCATGTGTTTCTTCTATTTGTTCAAGTTTAAATTTGTTTTCTGAAGTTTGGCATGGGAATTTTTATGCGGCCACCAGCAGTGGTACAAAAGTTATGATATTTTTTTAAATGTTTCTTTTAGCATGTTATTTATACACACTGTGTTCTTTTTTCAACTTTAACATAAATACTATCTCTAATATTTGTCAGGAAAAAACTGAGTTGTGAATAAATGGCTCAAAGTCACTTGCAATACTAGATTACAGGTGTCTCCATGGCGATGTTCCTATCGCCGATGCTTTTTGGTATAGCAATCGACTGGGTCATGCGCAAGTGCATAAATAACGCAAATTTAGGCATTACATGGGTTGACAAAATTCTGGAACACCTAGACTTCGCTGACGACATAGCACTCCTGAGTTCAGAAAACACACAGACGCCCAAGAAAAAAATCAAACGACTCCAGAATTTCTCAGAACAAATTGGACTCCAAATTAACACCGCAAAAACAAAAATTCTAGACCTTACCAACAGTTCAGTTGATATCACGCTGAACAACAACAGCCTTGAAAAAGTCAACAGTTTCACTTATCTAGGGAGCAAGATGTCATCTACAGGAGATACCGCACCAGAAATACCATTTAGAATAGCACTGTCATCTAGTGCCTTCAATAAACTGTCCAACATCTGGAAATCAAAGACACTTAGCAAACACACAAAACTCAAGATCTTCAATTCTTGTGTGATTCCAGTACTAACCTATGGATGCGAGAGCTGGAAATCAACGAAAGCTCTAGACACAAAATTAGACAATTTTGAAAATAAATGCCTTGGAAGAATACTAAATTTCAAATGGTCAGATTTCCGAACCAATACACAAATAAGGCAAGAATCCAGGCAAGAGTATGTGTCTAATTTTTTTTGAAAACGCCGCTGGAACTATGTCGGCCACGCCCTTAGAATGGATAAATCAAGACTTCCTTACCAAGCCCTCATTTGGACACCACAGGGGAAAAGATCTCGTGGAAGACCAAGGGAAACTCTACGTAGAACTATCATCAGGGAAGGCTCGCTCATGGGCCACTCAAACATCCAAGACCTACAACAGATTGCAACGAACCGCCATGCATGGAGAGTCATGACTTCTGCCCTATGTGCCGCACTCGACACAAGAGGAAAGACTAACTAACATGGCGATGTAGTCATGCCGTTTGCCTCATGCTCTGAAGTTTCTGGGTTTGGTTCATGGCTGAGTGAGCACAATTTTTACAGAGACTCCTAGGGATCATCGCCAGAGCTACGGAGTTCCTGCTCTGTATGACACTCTTAGCAGTTGGTTCATGGCTGAGCGAGTGCAGTTTTTACAGACTCCTGGGGATCATCGCCAGAGCTACGGAATTCCTGCTCTGTATGAGGCTCTTGGCAGGCAGCTAGCTGTACTGCAGAGAGATCAAGCTATATGGGATAAAACCCGGAGAGTGAAGTCAAGCCTCACAACTTGAACTTTAACCTGTAGATTGCATATACATCCGGATTACACATTTTTCTTCTTCGTGTTCACCAGCTTTAACTCCAGAAAAATTCTAGTAGTTCGTCCACTTTCGGACTTTAGTCTTGTTCCAGAACCTGACTGTTGTGTGCACATCTGTTTTACAGATCTTGCTTATTTGTATGCAGACTGTTGGTTCCTTGCCTCTCGGGTAGATGTACTCTGACTTCATAGGATACCCCCAGTGATGGTTGGGGAGGCATTAGGTCTGTTCTTGTTTTTCCTACAGTAGAGCCCTGGAACCCACACAGGGAAGATTATTACATATGCAACAAAAATAAATGCTGTTGACAAATAACAAAATAAACGTACACATACAGAAAGTTCATTTAATGTGGCTTATGTATCCCTGTAAATCAGTGATTCTCAATGTACATGCTGCTGAATACAAACGCACACACAGAAACACAGAGTCATGCTTGCATATATGCACACACACTTGGAAGCGGTGAATGAGATCCTGTGGATGGTGAGATCTTTTATTTGCAGTAGAGTCAGTGCCAAGATAGAGGGGAGAGTCAGGGGTTCAGCCTTGGAGGTGTGAGAGTGACGACTGACTGACTGACTTTCTACCCCACTAGGACATCACACAAGCGATAAACACCCGATGACACAAAGTGCCCATGTGGATGAGGATCGCCGTGGAGAGAAACTGCGTTCAGACAATTGGCTATATTATGGCCTGCCTATATTGTGGCCCCTGGCAAAAGCCAGGGTGGGGCTTCAAATAACAAAAAATGTCATCTAAAAAAGGATGAAACCGGATCTAATTAGTGAGAGTGACGGCTGTGTGTGGCCGTGGAATTATGAGAGCTATTAGAGGTGAGTCATGGATATGATCATGGGATTATGAGAGTTAATGGAGGCTAGTAATGGATATGGATGGATGGGTGGGGGAGAGGCAGTGGCCGTGGGGGTGTTTAGGAGTGAGTCATGTATGTGGCCGTGGAAATGTGAAAGGTGTCTGTCATGACAGTTAAGGGTATCCTTAGAGAGGGATGGGAGGTGTTTAGGTTGTGAGTATGTCCACAAAAAGAACAAAGGTATTTGGGATGAGTATATTGTGCTTGGTCTTGAAGGTGGGAGAGAGAGAGGTATTGTAAATAGGTTTGTTGCCTTTTTGGTATGAAGTGTTTTAGTGTGAATCAGGAATGTGGTCTTGGTGGTGTTTCATGTATTTTGGAGTGTGACCTTGGAGGTATGACAGATGGTTTCCACAGTGGTACGAAAGATAGCAGTTCAGAAAAAAATATATGAACTTATGGATATAGCACAAAATCGGTTTATTGTTCATTTTTTACATAACTGTGGTATTCTACTTTCTGATGGAAGCTCTGGTTTTTATTTTTACCGGAGGACTGTAATCCTAACTGACCTGTTAATTTTGTGCTGCATTCAAATTCTAGTCAATGTGAATGACTGTTTTTTTTTTTTCGGTTGTGCCTGTTTTAAATAAATGAGATAAATATTTCATGATACCTGTAAAATCCAATAAACCTACTTAAAACAAAATAGATAGTCACATATCCTGTATACAGATATTAACATTTTAATGTGATGGTTTTTTTTATTGGATCTACCAATTGTAAACCTTTTTTTTTATTAAGTGCTGTTCATGTGTAGCTGAGACCCATAAGAGATGCCAGAAAAGCAGAACGGTTATATGCCATGCATGTTCTAGAACATACTAGTGAGAGTTGCTTGCTGTAAGACTGGTTACATTACTACCACTAGGACTCCCACATTTTTTTTTAAAGATTTATGTTTGTATGTAATGAATATCAAAGCAATGCTTCTCCATTGTAAATTTGAACAAAGAAGACACAAACAATAGACTGGACAATTTATTGCTTGCATATTTCAGTATCTCGTATATGCCGTGCAATAAATTATGCAATGAATTGTTGATGTCTTTTTTGTTATAACATATTTTTTTCATTTCTCTTTTAAGACGTGATATTAATTTAATTATGTGCTGCTTTTATATGATGAAGTATGATTGTATTGAAGTCTGTTTGATATTATCTTGTTATATAGTTAACAGTAACAACTGTTTAATACAGATGCGCTGTGTTTGTTATCAGTTAATAAATTAGCATAATATAATACTCTGGTTGAGCAACGCAGGAGAAGTCTCAGTACATCTAAGCTCATTAGAAATTGCAGAGCACTAAACTTTGAGTTAGAAAAGTTAACCATGTGACCCTAAGGAAACCAGGTTTTCTGAGTTGTACGGATTTTTGATGATGACGTGACATCTTTGCGCAGGGGCTACTATGTTTATACTACAACTTTGTTGAGCGAGAGACATTCAACCCCATCAGACCGCACAATGAGCGATAAACACCCAGTGACACGGTGCCACCATTCGGATGAGAATCACCAGGGCACAAGTCCCAGAAACACTGTTTAACAGGTAGGTTATCAGGGCCCCTTGGCAACAGCCAGGGTAGGAAGTTAAAAAAAACCCCAAAAATTATGTCCTTTTCTGGAACGAGGGTATGTAATCATTACAAAACTAAAACTGGTTGCAACTGCATAATGTGTAGACATGGTTCTTTTAAACAATTTTTTTGAAGATATTTCATGTGAAAGCCATGGATTTTTTTTTTAATCATTGTGATGTCGTAAGAAACTTATGATGACATCACTTTGCTCTGTGGCTCTGTAGAAAACCCCCGTTTTCTTGGTGAAAAGGAAAGCAAGCAGCTATTTTTGTTCTGCCTTTGTATTTAGTGATTACCTCCCTTCAATGTAAAAAAAAACTTTGCGCAAAATAACTGTTAAATATAAAATCTATCTTCTTAGTAACTTTAGAGCTGCGGTGATGCAGTATCTAGCAGGCTTACCTGTGTGCTCATAGGTTTAAACCCTGGATTTTTATACAGACTGAACAAAACTACAAATCTCTTCTGCTTCTTTTTCTTGTTTCTTAGGGTAGAGGTTCAGAAAATTGTAATAATGCATTTCTTCTTTTAGAAAAAAATTTTGAAAAGGGTCTTTAAAAAAAAAAGATTTTTACAGAGCAAAGGGGTCAGAAGAAATTGTCACAGTAATGCTACTGAAATGTGTATGTGTGTGTATTTGCTGGCCCAAAAGATCTGGGTTCTGACCTGCACTGAGTTGATTGTTTTCTTCAGTATTCACTTTGCCCCCCTCCCCGCCAGGTTGACTCATCTAAAATCGGTAACAGACACTGTTCTAGGAGTAAAGGCGATGAGCAAATCACTGAACCACTATGCTCCTTGTATGTTAAATTTTTTTTTTAAAATA